AAAACGGGTAGCAGTTCCTGTTACTAGAATGCCAGTGTTGCATTACAACCAAAAAAATATATAGGGTCATGCGGCTCAAATTGACTTAAAATGCAGTTGAAAAAGATCGTCTATTTTTTTCGCTTAATGAAAAAGACATATTTTTAATGGCTCCGACGTGCAGAAATGGAAGATATTTTCTATACTTCGTAAAATGTGAATATGATTTTCTGCAATTTTTAAACCTAATTGGATAAGCTTTCGATTAAATGTAATTCCAATCCTGTATCATCCAATCAGAAGCCGTATAGGATTCTATTCTGAGTACCATCTTGGGGTAAAAAACTTGCCGGTAAAATGTAAACAAATAATTGCGCTCTTGTAACCATTAGTGACATAGCAATTTATGAAAAGTTCTTTATTGCGACGTTTTAAATATCTTAAATACCCCGTATGGAGGTGCTCTTAATTGCAGGAAGCCGATACAGATAAGAAGAATAAATGTTCCGAATGGACAATAATTTAGCTTCCGAATATTCCCCCATAGACCATATTTCTAACTAATTTATATGCGTGAACCCTGAGGGTTCACGCAATAAGTTTCAGTGAAAAGACCAATAAATATTGAAAAAATATCAAAAATCCAATTTTGGCAAATAATTTCAAGTTATTGAATTTTACATCTAACTTTCCTATATTTTGACAAATATCTGAATTATTTAAATTCTAATTTAAACCGGGTAAACCTACGCTATAAATTAACCTGAGACCTAAATAACATAAAATTATTGCATGACACATTCTACATACATATTGTCATTATCTACTACAGCGTCTAGAAAGAATCTAAAAGTGAACCTAGAAGGTTTACTTATTTCTTATTTTGTATCACACCAGTTTTTTTTTTAATATTGATGCTAGATTGCTTCATTTAAACATATGACAGCAACACAGAAACTTTGGCATTTATTGTAGTGGAAATAAACTGAAATGTTGCTATCCAGAACATTATGGTTCCAGTAAGGCAACAGCTAGTAGACATAGAGCCGGAGCCTCTCCGAGCGTCAGCAAGGAATCATGACTGGTTGGAGACAAGAGAGGTCATCAACAAAGGAACAAGTAAAAGAATATCCTCTTTATATACAAATAGATAGATTTCTGGAGGACATTTGACTTTTTTGGGAGGGGAGAAAACTTGAAAAATCTTTGGATCTAATATAAATTTTCAATGTTTTCAGGTTAAAATCATTCATTTTTGCCACAGGCAATTAAAATTCAATTAAATAATTTTACATATGAGGGAAAATGAGTTTAAATCTGAGGCAAACAAATAATTTTTAGGGAACCTTCTGCAACAAGTTTATTTTTTCAACAAAATTATGTTTAAAATTTATTTAAAATATCTTCCCAGCAACACTTGTAAATTGTGAATTTGATTGTGCTATTTTTTTTTTTCTTGGTTCTTAAAAAGTCGTTCATTTTGAGCATAAATATGGTATCTGTAAGTCTAATTTCAGGTTGTTTTGGGGGTCCATTTTTCGACAGTTATTTTTTTGTTGGTGTGTCTGAAAATTAAACTGTATTTTTCGTTTTTCTGACAATTTTCATACATAACATTTTGATGTAAATTTATCACAGAAAATTGATAAAAGGCAATTAAGAACTGCATAGTTGACAGTACACGTTTTCAATCTTTTTTTAGGACGTTTCCTATTTATTGACAATATTTCTGTACATTACAGAAATCGCACCCTTTTAGTTTCTTGAAAAGTATTCTTGGTTCTGATTATATTTTAATTAATACAAGTGTGGACACAGATCAATCATCTTGCATTTTCAGATAAGAAGCAAAAGCTCAAAATTGGCATTGTGCAGGGTTAGACATAAGTTTTTTTATATCATTTTTCAATCATATATTACTTGTTTGAAAAAGACAACAACAAAAAATGATGTAAAATTAGCTTTCTCTTTTCTGCCGAAAAAACTTCCCTAGAATCAGCTGCTGTGCCATCTTATGGCAGAGCAGCTAAGGATTGTTATTTAGAAACATTAAATGCTCTCTATGCAGTGAAAAAACTGGAAAGGCCCTTGTGCTTTACCTGGGCTCTGGTATGTTTTCACCCACAGAAAACCTTTCCTTGAATTAAGTACTGCTGAACCCTGAGAAAGTTCATAAATAATTATCAGGTTATAATGTATTTATACATATATATATATTTACCTATTTTCATTTATTTCACTTTTGTTCAAGGTTTACGAAAAACAACAATATTAAAGTGATCTCCAATTTATATTATTGTGGATCTGAAAGTTTTCCTTTAATAATCAGGTCTAATCTGAATGGTTCATCATAAAATGCGTCAACAACTGATTCTTACTCTAATGGGCCATTATTTTTTTAATGTCTATATTTATAGAGGAAATTACTAAAAATATGCAAATTTGTCATTATCGTCAGGGATTATTAATATAATGCCATATTTGTTAAAAAGAGAATTTGCCGAAGCATGGATTCTGTATTTTTTAACTTCGAATTTTTACTTGTCCAGGCAATTTGAGCAGCTGTTGATGGCTAACCATGATAGTGTAATGTATTCAATATTTATTTATAATGTTCAAGATTTGAAGAAGCTACATTTTTCGTGTGTTAATTATCATGTAATTATCAAGCATTTACATATACGGAGGAAAACAGACTAACATGTACACCGGAATCTCGTAACTTAATGATATTTTTACATTATTACTATAAACTACTGCTCAAAGACTTAAGTGATTGATTGATTATTGGTTGCTTAAAGTCCAGGGGCAAATATTTCAAGCATGTTCAGGACGAGAACAAATTAACAATGAATACAATAGATTGGTCCTGTAATACTATCCGTCCGGGATGAAGTTCGGGGATAATTGGACTGCCTGGCACTTGAAAAAAGGGTATATTGGATATGGACAGAAATTTTGCCTTGCAACAGGCCACCTACAGACCATTCAAAAGTCGTAACGTGCAGTGAGCTTGGCACTCGGATTCAACGTCCCCATTCTGCCCAATTCTGACCGGTCGTGGCTGTGTACTTTTACATCCCGCACAGCCAAACAGACGCCCCACATCTGCGAGGGTTTTACTGCCGGTCGGAAGAAGACCAAAGTGACCATATTTATATTCCCCAGTAACCCAGGGAGGGGAGGGGGCAGATTTAAGTGAAAATAGTCTTAAAGTTGTAGTTACTTTTTCGGAATTTTAAAACATCTGTTTTCGGATTGACTGCATGAATAATATTCTCATTACTTGTTTCTATTTATCAAAGATAAAGGACGTGGTACCTGACTGAAAGAATAAAGATGATCTATACATTTTAAAATGCGTGTTGTGGACAAGGCTTTATGTCGAAATTATGACAATGATTTGATTTTGAATATTTTTTCTACATCAATGTTGTATTACTCATGAAAAAAAAAAAATTGTACTTATAGTAGTCCAGCACGCAAAGGAATACATTTTGAATAAAGTGCAGGAAGAATTTTAACTTGGGAGAATCGTTTTAAGGGTCAACACCATCTTGGTTACTGTGATGTTGCAGGTTCAAATTGTTAATAACAAGAGACGACAAGGAACACCGTATAGAGTTTCATAATTTATTTTCTGTAAACGGGGCTTTTCAAAAATGAATCCGTTAGTCGGTTCTACTTTTTAGATAATGTAATGATATTTAAGAGTATTCTAGTTAACAACGCACGTATTCGGTATAATTGTAAATTTACACTACACCACACAACACCACACCTTTATTGTGTAGCAAAATAGCTAAACAAATTAACCTGAGACAACATACCCGCTATTTGTATAGCTTCAGACTTAAAGTTGAGAGCTAAACTTTTTTTAGAATAAATATTCTGACATTTGGATTGAAGCTTTGGCAATCAATTAAACAGATATTCTTTACGCAAAGGAAAGTAATACACGTATTAAACACTTCATGCACGCATTTAACTAAAGGATGATGCGAGTTTTTCAGTTTTTCTCAATTATAGACAATAAATCCAGCATCTCTATAACAACCATTGAAGTATGGTTTTATGTTCAAATTTGCTATGTATCATTTAGTTTGTACATTATCAAAATTATCGCAAGTTTTGCCATTTGTTCAAATAAAACCCCGTACTTTACAAAGATGCATGCAGAAAAGTTTGGCGAAACATGATGACCTAAATAAATAACTACTTTGTGGTGCAGTTGTTTTAAATCTCGTTTTATATATAATCTTAATGAAATACAACTGTTAACAACTTAAGGAATCCACCCGCTATTAACCCTACCACACAAACACTATTTCTGATTTTGGTTCATCATATATAATTAGATTTGTAAAAATTAAAATTAAATCGAATAACAAATATTTTTTTCAGGCTATCCTTTTGTACATTTACATTTAAATAATAGTGAATGTTGGTACATTTAAATGAGACCGTAACCAAAACCACACATGAAGCCCAAGTCATTTAGAGATTAAAATAAAATCATTAAAAATAAAAGACTGGTGTATACAAATGTATATGTACAATATGCATTGCACGCTCTCAATCAGCCGTAATCTTGACATCTTACTTTTGAAAACGAAAAAAAAAAACAAAACAAAACGAGACGATATTTGCGGACAGTCACATGTGCTTTGTATATGGATGGTCTCAGTGAAAATATACTCCCTGTCATAATTAAGTTTCTCGAAACAAGATAGGTCCGTGTTATCGAACCAACGTTGTACAATACTAATAATATTAATTCAATTTCAGGAAAATATCATTCTTTTTTTCAAAAATGTACTTAAATCTGCTGTAAAAATGAAAATTTGTGCACATATATTTAATATTTCAATTCTGTTTTTAAATACTCGTGGTAATATTAATTTTTTATATACTAGATTTACCATGTAATACGATAACAATAAAAATCAAGACGTTACTATCAAAATTACGACAGCAAATAAATGATTGAAAACAGTCAAAATTAAGTTATATTCACTTACCTCCAAAATATTTATTCAATTTCTTACATGTATCATTTATCAACTTGACTGGGTTGACTGAATAACTTCACACAATTTTTTTCTGCGTCTTCCTGTTTAGTCGGGTATATGATGATCAGTTATGGGTAATAGCAGGTACTAGTAAGGAAAAAACATAATAAAATACATGCAATTCCAACTACTCCTTCTGCTCGACTCTGAAAAATATGTTCTGCCGCTTACGAATAATTGTATTAAAAATTGCTGAAGCTTCATTCGATCATATAGTGTCTTTGATTAAATTTTGTTAAATATCGTGGAAAACTCCCAAAGGAACCTTTTTGTTTAATACACCCGATAGTAAGTTACCTTTGTGTTGTAATATTTGTTTAACAAAAGATATCTGACTAGACAAGCTCAAGGTAAATAAATTGGCATATTGTCAGGTTTAAACAAAACTGCACTATTTATCTATTTGATATCATGTTTACAAAAAATAGAAGTAACTTTTTTAAACATGCATTATTTAAGGTAGGTAGATTTTTATTTCGGACGGTTGTCCTTTTATATAATTAAGACTGTAGACTTGAAGGGGAAATGGCGTCGAGTGCAGTAGGCGACGCCTCTTGCTTATGGTTCATGTGGACCCTTTGGCTAAAATGGCTGCATTTTCACGTCAAAATTTACTATGAGTACAGACAAACCTGTGTATCTGTAAAAGTTTTAAGGCATAGCATGCCCTAGATAAATAGAATTTAAATATATTTTATGTTTTAGAAAATTAAAAACTTAACAGGATTTTGCAGTGCCCTTGTTTTTTTCATTCCTCCAGAAGGTGCCAAAATAAACTAAATTGTGACAGATGTTTGAGAACTTCCCCACAGGTAATAATGGAAGTGAACTGTATGATTTACATGAACAATAGATGGACAATAGATACCTGACAATAATTGGTGATTTAAACTGTGTACCTGGGTGGACCATATCAAGTGAAACTCAACTGTTGGTTAATTTTATCATCTTCTGCAGGGACGAAAAAAGTGCACTGCAAAATCCAGTTAAGTTTTAAATTTTCTAAAACATACAATGTATTTGAATTTTATTTATCAAGGGCATGCTATACCTTAAAACTTTTCCAGATGCACAGGTTTGTTTGTACTCAGAGTAAATTTTTAGGTGAAAACGCACCCATTTTAGCCAAAGGGTCCACATGAACCTTACTGACTGAATAATCTTTCCTGTTCAACATTTTGGGTTTTGTCACCATTTTTGCATTGTGATTTTATGACATTAATTATCCTATCCTACCAACCTCGAAAAACTAATCTAAACCCCTACTACTCTATTGTTATTAGAGATATTTACACAGTAAGCAACTATGCAAAAAAAAAAGTCTCGATCTAGACAAATTGTTACACAACAAAATGGACTTAGGGCGTTGATTTTATCGTTTGAATAACTTCAGATTTTTTCATGGGGCTTTGTATTATAGCTAATATTTTGTTATCATGGGGCTTTGCATTATAGCTAACATTTTGTCATCATGGGGCTTTGTATTATAGCTAACACTTTGTCATCACGAGGCCTTGTATTATAGCTAACATTTTCACTGTGTATCATCACCACCAGATATAGGTACCCTTGGCCTGGTTCTCTGTTCATTGTCTAAGAAAAACAACATTACTGTACAAAGACCAGCGTATAGCTACCTGGGTACATATATGTTGGTATATGTACAGTAATTTAGTTTTTCCTTAGACAATGAACGGAGAACCAGGTCAAGGGTACCTACATCCGGTGGTGATGATAGTACGGATTTTACTAATGGCTGAAGGTTGTAAAATGGCCTGTAGTTTTGTCTTTGACGATTGGTCATTCATACAACATCTCATATTATATCGCTGAATGTACGGGTTCTGTATACATATTTTTAAAAGTTGAGGATGATCAACAGATTGATACGAAATAGAGGGAAACCAAGTTACGTAGTTTATGTAGATCGTCGTCGTCTCTTAACTTTTACAAAAATCTTCTTTGAAACTACTGGGCCAAATTTAATCAAACTTGGCCACAATCATCATTGAGGTATCTAGTTTAAAAAATGTGTCTGATGACCCAGCCTGTCAACCAAGATGGCCGACATGGCTAAAAATAGAACATAGTTGTAAAATGCAAGTTTTGTCTATTGTTTTTGAAAACCGTTATAAATAGAGGAAATCTGACAAAGGCTAAAATGTTGAGAATGTTGAACTCTACCAATTGTCTATATATGTCAAAACTGTCAGGCGACTTCTTATAGAAGTTATTGCCCTTAAATGACAAATTTTACCATTTTTTTTTTCATTTTTGGCTATTATCTTGAAAACTATAATAGAAAGAGAGAAACTTTAAGTTGCAAAAATGATCAGCAAGACAAGATCTACAAATGAGTATGATGATCGAAATCACCAGTTGACTTCTTATTAGGGTCATTGCCCTTAGATGATGATTTTTACCATTTTTTGTGTGTTTGCCTTATATCTTAAAATTTAGAAGAGATTGATAGAAACGTCAACAAGCAAAGACGATCAGAAAGACAAGATCTTCAATATGAAGGAAATTGTCCGACTACTCATTATTGGAATTATTGCCCTTAAATACGATTTTTACCCTTTTATTGCGTTTTGGCTTATATGATAAAAATAATGATAGATAAATAGAAACTGTAAATAACAAAAATGATCAACAAGGCAAGATCTACAAACAAGTCAAATTTTTTCGATATCGTTAGAAGACTGTCACTCTTCATAGGAGTGATAGCCCTTAAAAATAAGGATTTTGTTTTTACCCTCTTTTGTATTTTGAGCAAAAACTCAAGAAGGTAGAAAGAGAATCTAAACAGACAAAATGATCAGCAATACAAGATCAGCGAAATAGAGATTTTTGTCATGAGTTCTATTCTTGTCTACAATGACGGAGATTGTCCTTAAGTTTGTTGAATATGCACATAGACCTAGGTGAGCGACACAGGCTCTTTTGCTTTAGGGCCTCTAGATTCACAAATATAATAAAAGTATGGGTCACGTAGCTTTATTTCAAGCTATAGATTTTGTATGGATTATATATGGAAAAATATATTGTGAGTAATAGAAAGAATTTAAAGATAGAATGTCAAGCCATGATAAAATATGAGGAGATAGCTCTTATAATATGCTTTCAAAAAATAAAAAGAAAGGTTGGGGTCACGGGACTCGTTTTATTGCTTCAAAACAAAATGTGTAAATTAAATACACATATCATTAAAAGTAAAAGTAATTTGAGTTAGTTCTCTTTATATGTCAAAATTGAAAACAAACTGAATCATACTAAAAAGTTCTTTATTTATACAAATAGTTTTAATAACAAGATAAAACACATTGTAATGCAAAAATTAAAACTACAAGCTCTAAAGAGTTTGTGTCGCTCACCTTGGTCTATGTGCATATTCAGCAAAGGACACTCTCAAACATTTTATACGAGAATAGTCTGTTTAGTTTCTCTCTATCTTCTTTAGTTTTTACTCTAAACACAAAAGAGGGTAAAAAAAAATCCTCATTTTAGGGCTATCACTCCTATAAAGCGTGACAGTCTACTAACTTTATCGGCAAAATTTCACTTGTTAGTAGATCTTGCCTTGCTGATCAGTTTTGTGATTTGAAGTGTCTATTTATCTATTATAATTTTTATCATATAAGGCAAAACGCAAAAAAATGGTAAACATCGTCATTAAAGGGCAATAACTCCAATAAGGAGTCTTCGGATTATTTCAGCCAAATGTTTTAATTGTAGATCTTGTCTTGCTGATCATCTTTGCTTATTAAAGTTTCTATCTATCTTTTATAATTTTTAAGATATAAGGCAAAAAACGCAAAAAAAAAAATGGTAAAAATCTTCATCAAAGGACAATGACTCTAATAAGGAGTCGACTGACGATTTCGACCATCATACTCATTTGTAGATCTTGTCATGCTGATCATTTTTTCAACTTAAAGTTTCTCTCTTTCTATTATAGTTTTCAAGATAATAGGCAAAAATGAAAATAAAATGGTAAAATTTGTCATTTAAGAACAATAACTTCTATGTCGCCTGACAGTTTTGACATATATAGACAATTGGTAGATCTCAACATTCTCAACATTTTAGCCTTGTCAGATTTCCTCTATTTATAACGGTTTTTAAAATAATAGACAAAACTTGCATTTTACCCCTATGTTCTATTTTTAGCCATGTCGGCCATCTTGTTTGACAAGTGGGTTCATCGGACACATTTTAAAACTTGATACCCCAATGATGATTGCGGCCAAGTTTGGTTAAATTTAAACCAGTTGTTTCAGAGAAGAAGATTTTTGTAAAAGTTAACAGACGACGACGTACAAATGTACGCCAAGTGATGAGAAAAGCTCACTTGGCCCTTTTGGGTCAGGTGAGCTAAAAATGAAATACATTTCTCTTTAAGAATTTGCATATCTTATAAGAGATCTAGACCGGTTGTGTTCTGCTATTTTACAATCCAAGACGGCGGAAGACGTCCGATTTTACCTGAGATTACTATATAATATGTGTTATTGTAATCTCAGCATTTGCTCAGATCGACCGTTACACGAAAAACAGACTGTGCAAAATTTTTCTTATTAGCATGATTAGGTCTTAAAAGGGAAACATCAATTTAATTTTATTGTTATCTATTTATTCGTAATGGAGAACTTCAATTTGAAGAAATTACTCCTCCATCGAGTTACTGTTCGATTAAACTTTTCAGTGCGCATGTCCACTTCCGTAAAAGTTTTCATCATCTTGTTTTCGAGTAACCAGTTATTCAAATCGAAGCCGACCTGAGATGTAAAAAAGAAAAGAATGAAAACCATCTAGTATTCAACATAACTACCTATTTCCGAAAAAAAATATCGATTAGGAAATACTTCCGACTTGATGACTTGTTTTTGTAATCATATGATGCAGTAATATATATATATATGTATATATTATAAGTTAGAGGGGTCTAAATACAGCACAAACAACATTTTCCAAAAGACCAAAAAAGTGAAAAAGTATATTTAACAAAACGTATTTGACTAACAGGTCGAACAACAATGTTCTTAAACCCTGTTGACTGCCATTGGCGATTGCCAAATAAACGGATCACCGATGTAATAAATGGATCTTAATTATAAATTTAATACTAAACAGAACACAATAAACTTGCGGAAAAGATGGTATACCGCAAATAAAAGGTGCAAAGGTTTTTGTACACCATATCCGAATTTCGACAATTTATGTCTCTTCAGTGATGTTAGGAATCGAAACGGTATTTGGAAAGCCATACAATTAAACTCAATTTAGGATAGACTCCTGAATTTTGAGGAGTCAAAATAGGATGAACGGATCATATAAACCCGAAGGCAAATATAGTACAAGCCCAAACGAAAAAATATAAACAAGTCTTAATTGAAAACAACGTTCAAACCTATGATTGCGTTGGATGAAAACCGCAAATTTTATACGTGTGCATGCAA